TGACGCAAAGACATGCTCGAATTTCCCGCGGAAACCCACCAGTACCACTGGAATTAAAATCATTATTACAAGCTAACCGTTTTGAATCTAGCTATGGCAAGCAGATAGTTTTGACCACTGGCAGAATACGTTTTTTTTTTATATAATTATTTTGGATTATTTCTAACTTAAAAAAGTTACGGACTGGAGCTTTAAAGGGTTAGTTCACCCAAAAATGAAAATTCTGTCAGTAATTACTCCCCCTCATGTTGTTCCAACCCCGTAAGACTTTCGTTCATCTTCGGAACACAAATTAAGATATTTTTGATTAAATCTGAGAGCTGGATCACTCCTCCATAGGCTTCTTAAGGGATCGAAACTGGACCCAAAAGTTATGAAAGACATCGTTAAAATAGTCCGAGTGACTACAGTGGCTCAATCTTAAGTTTATCAAGCGACGAGAATACTTTTTGTGCGCAAAAAAACAAACAAAAATAACGACTTTATTCAACTATTGAATAAAGCAATATTGGATCTTTTTGATAAAATATGGGTGGAAGGACAACTGCCTATATCTTGAAAACAAGCTGTCGTAACACCTATTCCCAAACCAGGGAAAGTTTCTTCAATAGCTGGAAACTATAGGCCAATTGCTCTAACGTCTAACCTCTGTAAAGTGATGGAAAAAATGATCGTTAAAAGGCTATATTATGTGTTAGAAAGCAGAGGATTATTAGCTCCTTATCAGTGTGGCTTTCGACCTGGTAGATCCACTTTAGATGCATTAATAAGACTAGAAACTGATGTAAAGAAGGCATTAGCAATGAAAGAAGTGTTAGTGGCAGTATACTTCGACATTGAAAAGGCATACGATGTGATGTGGAGGGAAGGATTGTTATTAAAGTTGCAAAGAATTGGAATTGAAGGAACATTTTATAATTGGGTTTTAAGTTTCTTATTTGGACAATCGATTCAAGTCAAGGTGGGTAGTGTATTATATCAGATGTTGAATGTAGAAAATGGAACACCTCTGGGTAATGCTATCCTGTTTTATTTAACATAATGATCAATGATGTATGAAGGAATTCATCCAGGAATTAAAACAACAGTATATGCAGATGATGGAGCAATGTGGAAAAGAGGAAGAAATGTTAAATATATTTTGCATAAAATTCAGGAAGCAATTGAGGTTGTAGAGAAATGGTCAGTGGAATGGGGATTCAGATTCTCTGTATCTAAAACATGTTGTCAGTTTTTTACAAAAATAGAATTGCAGAAAATATTAAACTTTATTTATAGAAACAGCCACTAGAATGGGTTACAACATTTAAATATTTAGGTCTATGGTTTGACTCTAAATTAACATGGAAAGTTCTTGTCAAATACATTGAAGAGAAATGCAGTAAAGTACAAATGAGATGTATAGTAGGACAAGATTGGGGTACAGATAAACAATAAATGATCACCATATATTGTGCACTTTTACGATCTGTTTTAGACTATAGATGTATTATATATGGATCTGCATCAATCAGTATGCTTAAGAGGTTAGATTTTATTCAAGCACGAGCACTGAGATGTATTACAGGTGTGATTATAACAACTCCAATCTCAGCAATGCAAGTTGAAATAGAGTCCCCATTAGACATAAGACGTCAAAAATGATCTGTTGCTTACTGGATCAATTTACAAGGGCATAAATTAGATCATCCTACAAAATCAATAATAGAGCGGAGTTGGGAGACAATACATTTAACAGGAACAAGTTTTGCATGGAAAGCGAAGGAATGGGCTGCAGAAATGTCACTGAATAATATAGTATTTTCGTCAACAGTTACATTTTTTCCCCAATACCTTCTTGGTTTTTCAGTCAACCTGAAGTTGATGAGGATGTGGATATTCAAAAAGGACAGGATGACATTAATATCAAGAGCTATACAATAGAATATATCAGAACCGGTTATTATTCATTTCTGTCAGTATACACAGATGGATCAAGAAACCCAAAGATAGATCGTACTGGATCTGCATTCTATGTCCCAGAATTTAAAATAGAAAAATATGGGAGGTTAACGGATGGGACTTCAGTATACACTGCAGAAATGGTGGCAATTCTGATGGCACTCTGTTGGGTAGAAGAAGTGATGCCAAATAAGGTTGTGATTTGTTCAGATTCAATGGCATCACTTACCAGTCTTCAAACCGTTAGATATGATATTTTAATAGAGATATTGAATGTATTGTATAGATTAAGATTAGCTGGAATAATAGTACATTTTGTTTGGGTAGCCTACCAGCACATGTTGATATACCAGGAAATGAAAAATCTGATATGGTCACTTAAACTGAACATTCCTACTATTACAGTTTCTTTAAGTAGGAAGGAGGGAAAAGCTATAATTAAAGAAGCTTGCAATCGGATGCAAGGAAATTGAAGTAACTGTAAAAAACGGTAGACATTTTTATAATATACAAAACATGGTAAGAGAGTAAAATGATACAAAACTTAAGTAGAGAAGATTAGTGTCACGAAACGCCCACTCACGCCACCCTCTGGTTTCACTCAATCCCTCTCCCCTGAATATTAGTACTACACTTCCCAACACTCCCTCCGTCATTATCACCTTCCATCCCTGCCTGATTTCTCTGATCACCCGTATCACTGTCACCTGTTCATCATCATCAGCCCTTTATATGAACTGTGTCTTCCGTTGCTCCGTGCGAAGTCTTGTTTCGATCTACGAACATTACCAAGCATACTCTCTGTCTTACCGTATATTTCTGTACCTTGATCTCTGCCTGAACACCGGACTCTGTGTACCTTTGCTGCCCGCCCCAACCTCTGCCTGTGTCTGACCTTGAGTTTTGGATTATCCCTTTTGATTACTGCCTGACCGTGTGTTTCACCTGTGTTAATAAAGTCTTGCACATGGGAATAAAGGAGGTTGAAATCCTAGAACACATTGGAACGGGAAGTCCGTAATCTGTTTAATAAAGCCACACTGCGTTTGGATCCAGCCTCAACTTCTGTCAGATCCATTACAGAAGTTGTCAGCAACCGGGCCCTGGGAGATTATCTTTCGACGTCCCAGAGCCACTGTCCGTCCCAGAGCCACTGTCCGTCCCAGAGCCACTGCCACTGTCTGTCCCAGAGCCACTGTCTGTCCCAGAGCCACTGTCTGTCCCAGAGCCACTGTCCGTCCCAGAGCCACTGTCCGTCCCAGAGCCACTGTCCGTCCCAGAGCCACTGCCACTGTCTGTCCCAGAGCCACTGTCTGTCCCAGAGCCACTGCCACTGTCTGTCCCAGAGCCACTGCCACTGTCTGTCCCCAGAGCCACTGCCACTGTCTGTCCCAGAGCCACTGCCACTGTCTGTCCCAGAGCCACTGCCACTGTCTGTCCCAGAGCCACTGCCACTGTCTGTCCCAGAGCCACTGCCACTGTCTGTCCCAGAGCCACTGTCCGTCCCAGAGCCACTGTCCGTCCCAGAGCCACTGCCACTGTCTGTCCCAGAGCCACTGTCTGTCCCAGAGCCACTGTCCGTCCCAGAGCCACTGTCCGTCCCAGAGCCACTCCCACTGTCTGTCCCAGAGCCACTGTCTGTCCCAGAGCCACTGCCACTGTCTGTCCCAGAGCCACTGCCACTGTCCGTCCCAGAGCCACTGTCTGTCCCAGAGCCACTGCCACTGTCTGTCCCAGAGCCACTGTCCGTCCCAGAGCCACTGTCCGTCCCAGAGCCACTGCCACTGTCTGTCCCAGAGCCACTGTCTGTCCCAGAGCCACTGTCCGTCCCAGAGCCACTGTCTGTCCCAGAGCCACTGTCCGTCCCAGAGCCACTGTCCGTCCCAGAGCCACTCCCACTGTCTGTCCCAGAGCCACTGTCTGTCCCAGAGCCACTGCCACTGTCTGTCCCAGAGCCACTGCCACTGTCTGTCCCCAGAGCCACTGCCACTGTCTGTCCCAGAGCCACTGTCAGTCCATGTCCCCGTAGGTTCCCCCAAGTATTTTTTTTGGGGGGGGGAGGGGTCGGGGTGGGTGGGGGGTGGGGGGTGGGGGGGGGGGGGGGGGGGCAGTAGTGGGCTCCACGACAAGACCACGAAGGCCGCGCCGCCATGGTCTCCTGGAAGGGGTTCTCCAGCGTCCCGTTCCAATGTGTTCTAGGATTTCAACCTCCTTTATTCCCATGTGCAAGACTTTATTAACACAGGTAAGACACACGGTCAGGCAGTAATCAAAAGGAATATGTCACGATGTGGGTTTGTGTCCTGTCATGTTCTATGGTTCCCTGTCTTGTCTATTAATTATCCCAGGTGTTTCTGATCTCCCACGCCCCCTTGTTATCTTGTTAGCTCGTTTGCCTGATTATTTAAGCCCTGTGTTTCTGCCCTGTCTTGGTGAGTTGTTGAATGTTTGATGCTAATGTTGGTTATTCCTGTTTCTGAGTCCTTGTATCCTGTTCCTGTCTAAGTCCGTAACCTGTTTAATAAAGCCACGCTGCGTTTGGATCCAGCCTCTTTTCAGCTTCATCGCACCTCGTTACAATCAGATACTTGTTTTAAGACTAAGGATTGGCCATACAAAACTTAATTCTACACTGAACATAATAGGAAAACACAGTACAGGATTATGTGAAATATGCTAAGTGAAGGAAACAGTTGATCATGTGTTGTTATTTTGTAGGTAGCGGCTATAGCCGGAAAGGAATGAACTACAACGAGAACTAGGCTACAGAACATATGCAATGAATTTACAATCCGTAGCTTATTAAACACAAAACAAGGATCTGGTCAGATAATAAAGACAGTTTTAAAATTCATTAAGAATAGTGGATTTAAGAATATAATATAGATCTCATAATATACGCCTAGACTGAAATCTCTTCACACTCCAGTACAGGAGGTGGCGGTATGCACCTTAAAAGCTGGTATGCAACCCGTCAATAAATCCACAGAAGAAGAAGCAGCCCCTTCTCACCGGATCACGTGTCAGTGGTCATATGACTCACAAGGAAAAAAGCCTGAGAGACTTCTACGAGATGCAAATAGCAGCGATAAAGCTGCGAAGAAAGGACCCGAAGCTAATAACAAAGCGGGAACTGTCATAATACTTAATGTTGTATAAGTGTATGAATTATAACGCTTTTGTAAGCTGCGTAACAGATGATGGATTTGACGTGTAAAATCGTGTTGCTTGCTTTGATCACAGCTCAGTGTGCTCGCGCATCACCGCCGAATTTTGTGCTGCTTTTCGCCGATGATTTGGGTTACGGTGATCTGGGGTGTTTTGGACACCCGAGCTCTCTCACTCCGAATCTAGACAGACTAGCGGCGAAAGGGCTGCGTTTTACCGACTTCTACGTCACGAGTCCCGTGTGCAGCCCCTCCAGGTAAAGCCAAATCCACCTGTTATCCAGCCTCTTATCCGCGTTCACTTGAACACGAGCTTTTGGCGCTTTTTGAATCACCATCCAGGGATCTGTATATGTATTATTATTATAAAATTAGAAATCATTAATAGTAATTATAAATAATTATTGTAAAATTAATTATTATTTTAAATGATTATATTTAATTTAATATAGCCTGCGCAGTTATTTCAGAATCATCCGAACTGTATTTGTTTTTTGCTTTCAGGCTATCAAAAAAAAAAACCTCTCTTGATTTATTGTAGAATTGATTAGATATCTTACATAATCACTGACTTTACATAATCTATAATTGATCGTGCATTGTCTGGCACAGAAGATGGCGCCAGAATACAGGCTAATATTCACAGACTTTGTGAATCATAAACATAACATACAACCAGTAGGCCTACTCTTTCTGCTGTATTTATATGTGAATTTTTTGTGTGCAAGAAAAAACATTATCTAAATTTGTCAAACTGTTTATATGCTGCACACTGCATGATATATGCAGTGTGCTCAACTTGACCTTTCATTTCCCTTGTGAAGAATGAAACAATATCAACCTGATTACAATGTAGTGCAGCATATATGCAATAATGTGCAGCATTTAGTAGTAGTAGTAGTAGTAGTAGTAGTAGTAGCCTTTATTGTCATTGGTCACAAGTACCAACGAAATTAGCCATCAACCAGCATTTAGCCAGCATTTTGTCTTACATAGTATTTTTTGGCCCAGGGCAGCCTTGCTGACAGGTCGCTTCCAGACTCGTTCCGGCATCTATCCGGGTGTGCTCTATCCGGGCTCAAGAGGGGGTCTCCCACTCAACGAGACCACTATCGCAGAGGTCCTGAAGGCTCAGGGTTACACAACAGCCATGATCGGAAAATGGCACCTGGGCGTTGGACTTAATGGCACTTTCCTACCCACCAGACAGGGCTTTGACAATTATCTTGGAATCCCATACTCGCATGACCAGGTAATTATGTTTTCTTGTATTATTCTGAGTCTCATCTGGAAATTGCATTATTATAATATATATTTTAATACAAGTGTGTCATATAATGTTCTTAACTTCATTTTGTTGATGAAATCCCTTTATATCTGTATCAAAGGGTCCCTGTCAGAATCTCACCTGCTTTCCTCCAAATGTGAAGTGCTATGGCCTCTGTGATCAGGGTGTGGTAACTGTGCCTCTCATGTTTAATGAGATTATCAAGCAGCAGCCCGCAGATTTCCTGCAGCTTGAGAAGGCCTACAGCGAATTTGCGTCTCAGTTCATTAATGATGCCATCCTAAATAAGAGCCCCTTCTTCTTGTACTATCCTTCACATGTAAGTCAAGAATCTTAATCAAATCATCTTTGTAATGCTTGTATGTCTCTAAAAATACCAATGCTCTCACAACACCAACATTTTCGATTATTTTCTAGACTAAAGGTGTGTTTGAAAAGGAGTAGCTTGCATACTATACAATTCATACAGTATAATGATTTTTATTTGAAAAATGTAAACACATTTTTTTTTTAAACTGTTAGATGGTTATTTTTTTTTTAAACTGTTAGATGGTTATTTTTAATCAATTTAATTTCAATTTTGGGTACAAATGCTTTATGTAAAGAGTCAAGAAACTGTTTACTGAAATTTTAAAATTATTTAATGAAGGCATCCCATGATACCACAATGTTTGTAATTTACCGGTAATATAAAACTGCAATATAAAACAATTGACTTGTAGTCATCAATTATATAAAATACAAATTATTTTTAAGTTTCCTGCAAATTATTTAAATGTATACAAGTTGTTTGGGTTGCGGGGCGACTTGCTTGATTCTGTCTTGCAAAGCTTCATGGGAGTGGCCAGTCGCTGATTCCCTCTTGGCACATTTCTCTTTTCCATGGTAACAGTGACTTTTCTGATTGGATGGTCCAAAGAGATGCATTGTGTGTAGTGTAGTTTTTCATTAAGAATGAAGCAATTCAAATTATTTAAATAAATAATTAAAATAGTGAAAGTTCCACAGAAGTGTTAACTATCATTTAACAATCTCAGAGCTTATAGCAAGCCTTTCTTGATGGTTTCATACAATATATTTCAAAATAAATGGGATTATTACTATCTCAACCCTTTCTGCATGGTCTCTTTCTAGCACACACACTACCCTCAGTATGCAGGTGCGGACTATGCAGGTAAGTCATCCCGTGGGCCGTTCGGTGATGCTTTGATGGAGTTTGATGGCACAGTGGGGAAGATTCTGCAAACTCTGGAGGAGACAGGTGTGATCAACAATACTCTCATCTTCTTCACTGGTGACAACGGGTAGGTGTGGTATAAGTGTTTCTTCTTTTATGATTGTTTCCATGTCCCATGATATCTATATATGTGTGCGCTCCCAGGCCAGAGCTAATGCGGAAGTCGCGTGGGGGAAACGCAGGACTGATGAAATGTGGCAAAGGCACGACTTACGAAGGAGGAATGAGAGAGCCGGCCATCGCATATTGGCCTGGATTCATTCAACCAGGTGCTGAGAGATAAACGGCTCGGCGTATGAATTCAGCTACAAGAAATATACCTCACTTTTTTAAATTTGAGGACATTTATTTCACATATTTTCCCATCATTCAAAGGTGTCACCCGTGCTCTGGCCAGCTCTTTGGACATTCTGCCCACCTTTGCCAAACTGGCTGGGGCTCCATTACCCGAGGTGCAGCTGGACGGGGTGGACATGATAGACATCCTGTTCAATAAAGGACCGGTAAGAGACAAAATGATCAAAATTAAGTTATATACTGTATATATTTTGAACTACTGTTCAAAAGTTTGGGGTTGGTAAGATTTTTTTGGGTCACACTTTAGTTCAGGGTCCAATTCTCACTATTAACTACGACTTTTGCCTCGGCAAACCCCTAATTACTGATTATTAATAGTTAGTAAGGTAGTTGTTAAGTTTAGGCATTGGCTAGGATTAAGGGATGTAGAATATGGTCATGCAGAATAAGGCATTAAGTGCTTTATAAGTACTAATAAACAGCCAATATCCTAGTAATATATTCATGCTAATAAGCAACTAGTTAATAGGGAGAATTGGACATAAAGTGTTACCGATTTAATGTTTTTAAAAAAAAGTTTAAATTTTTATTTTTTTTATTTGAACATAAATACAGTAAAACAGTAATATTGTGAAATATTATTACAATTTAAAATAACTGTTTTCTATTTTAATATATTTTAAAATGTAACTTATTCCTTTAATGGCATGCCATTACTCCAGTCTTCAGTGTCACATGATCCTTTAGAAATGAATCAAATATGCTGATTTGCTGTTTAAGAAACATTTCTTATTATCATTAAAGTTTAAAACAGCTGCTTAACATTTTTTTTGTTTCTCTGGATTCTTTGATTATTTTACCCTGAACAAGCTCTGGTGATGAGACTGGTCATTAAAACCAGTTCTCGAGACCCTTCTTTTATGTTGCACATGTTTTTTAAATTAATTTAATTATTTATTTTTATGCATTAATATATGGCCAAAATGTAATGTTGTTAAGCCAACGTTATTTGTGTTTCAGAGTAAAAGACAGACCATGTTTTACTACCCCACTGATCCAAGTAAGAAGTATAGCGTGTTTGCAGTGAGATGGAAAAATTTCAAAGCCCATTACTATACACGGGGTACGTTCACCATTTGTTAAGACTCCCTATTTAAACCTCACTTCCTATTTATTTCTAATACGTCTTTTCCCCCATAACTCAGGCGCAGCTCACAGTGAGACCACCCCAGACAACAACTGCTCATTACTGGCATTCCTCAAGTATCATGATCCTCCTTTACTATTTAACCTGGAGGCAGACCCCTCAGAAAATTATAACCTTGATGGTACTGAATGGGACCCTGTGCTCAAGCAAATTCAGACCATCAAGGAGCAGTTTGAGGCTTCTATGGTGTTTGGTGAAAGTCAGATTGCCAAAGGGAAAGACTCTGCACTCGAGCCCTGCTGCACTCCAAATTGCACCCCTAAACCCGAATGCTGCCGCTGCACTTAAGCACTTTAATGGAAAGCGGCAGCCAGCCGGAACACTGTCGAATCCCAGCACGACCACGAAAATATGATTTTATAATAGATTTTTTTAGGTAATATGTAATCTGATTTTATAAAATTGGTATCAAAAAAAGTATATCAGCTGGTGTGGGTGATATACCAGCTGGTATACCAGGCCTGCAAGAACAGGTTTGGCGAAGTGACCTCCATCCAGAGGACTGACCAAAGAGAGATTGACCATCTGGAGGAAGGCAATGCAGGCAGAGAAAGAGGGTCTAAAAGTCTTGTGGGAGGAGGTCAGACAAAGACTGTTGGGGCTTCGCAGGGCTGAACGTATCCGCAAGGGCAGGAAACGGAAACAGAAAGAACGAGCCAGCTTCTTCAAAGACCCCTTTAAGCATGCCAGACAGCTGCTGGAGGAGAAGAAGAGTGGGAAGCTCGAAACCACCAGGGAGAAACTGGAACACGTTAGAGAACAGTACAGCGATCCAGTAAGGAACGTCCCATTAGGAACACCAGGGTACGTACCTAAGCCTGCTCCTCCGACTGCTGTGTTCAACATCATGCCCCCCAAGCTCAGTGAAGTTAGGCTGAATAATCACGTTTCAGGATTAAAGGAGCGAAATGTTGGTGAATGGTGGTTCCTGGCCGACGACCCTGCAGCTGACCCGTGGGCACCGGAGGAGGTGCGACCGGCAGCAATGCCTAGCAGGTGTTCCACCTACCTGTACACTTCACTTTAGGTAATATGTAATGTAATTTATTTGATAAAATTGGTATCAAAAAAAGTATTGTTCAGAAACTGGTATTGAAGTCAAGGTATCGATATCGAAAAATTTTAAACGTTACCCAGCCCTACTGTCATGACAGTAACTGTAAGTGACTACATGATAGTATGATAGCAGTGACTGGTGTTTTCAAAGGGAATAGGGGAGCTAATCTTTCAAGCATGACAGTTATAGAATGTGGTTTTTTTAAAGCACAAATGTATGAATGTTTACTCTCCAATTTATCTCATACGGTCTTTTGAGATGAATTTGATATCAGTCTGGTTTTAACACTTAATCATTAAGTTTTCGAAATAAAAGGAATTAAAAGAACACAGGTCTTGAGATTTTCTATTCCTCCTTGTCTCACACATTCTAACTAGCTGAATGACTTCCCATTTATTAGAACGTATAGATAGAAAAAATAATTGTAATCATTAAAATATATGAATTAAACATCTTTTAAATTACATTTACAATGCTGAATGGTTTAATTAAACAGTGCAAAATGAAAGCTATTTTGATCACCTAGAGCAGTGGTTTTTTAACCTTTTCAATTCAAAAGCCCTCCCCACCAAAAAATATATTGATATATAGTAAATATGATATATTAAATTAATTAGTCATGATTCGTTTTGTGATTGAAGAAGTTAAGCACTAAATGTTCTTCAATAAAATCAATAGTTATTGAGAGGACATGTGGGATTTTATGTGTTTTTAGCAATTTAATTTAGAGTTAAATTATATTAATAATAATTTATTCATTTAAATACTAAACCTGCAGCCCTCATGAAAATGTGCTTAGGCCCCTAGTCGGCCCGATCCAGTGGTTGATGAGAACCACTGACCTAGAGTCATTAAATTAGGAATATAGGATCTTGCATGAAACTGTTTGCAGTGTAAAGACAGCCTAGAGACAGCAGATGAGAGAATTTACAAAATTGCCATCAACCAGCATCAGTCCCACAAGCGGCAAAGTCTCACCTTTGCCAGAAAAAAAACAGAAACACTTGGTGACATCAAGCATATAGTATTTTATTCATAAGACCAAAACCATGACAAGGCAGTGAGATTTTTTTTGTTTGATTTTTTTTTTACAAGTTGTCATTGTTAAAGATACAAGATACATAGTTTTGTCATACTGAAGCTGTTTCCGTTATACAGTGAAGGACTGAATTATGTAAGTTTAAGTCCAGAACTTTGCATTTCTTGTAATTGTATTTCAGCTACCCAAGCTTAAGTAGAAATATTAGATGCTCTGCCTGAATGTGTTAGGGGTTTCACAGCCAATTTGTCACTACAAATTGCTAAAGTGAAGGCTAAAATATTTAAGATATTTATTTACTGTATGAACACACAAAATGTAATGTAACAGTCATAACGGAGGATTGGGAGCTCTGACTGAAATAACTGAAATTTGCGCTGAGATTTGACCCATTAAATGCAATGATGAAATGCAGAGAATGGAGATTTGGGGCATTTGATGAGTGTCTATTTGTGAATGAGGATCTGAACATCTAATTGACACGGCGGATCTGTTGGAACATCAGCGATTGCATGTTATTCCGCACATGGTGAGCACACATCCAACAACAGATGTATACCAATGTAAAGCAGATAAAGGAAAGATACAAATACTAATTAAAAGCTATTTATATCTTTTCACCCCATCACAGTTGGCTTTTGGTTGTGAGATTGTTATCAACATTATTATTTTTATTTATTTTGAATTTACATATTTATCTCAATAACATACTCAACAGAAAGGACACAGCATGGCGACCCTGACTCTAGATTATTTACAGCAATCTAAACAAAAACAAGTCACATTGAAAACATAAAACTCCTTATGTGACAGCGTCACCATCACAAATAAATGGATATCCATGAAAACAGATTGCAGGCTGCTGGAAGATACAGTCATGTTTGCAGGGAATGTTGGGCTGTGCTCAAAATAGCATACTATCATACTACTCGTGCTAGTATAAAGCATGTATACTTTGTGCGTGTGCACTTCATCTGTATCGATAGAAAAAAAAATCAGATTACCTACTACATTTGCCAAAATGTGCAATATACATACAAGACGGCACAAATGACAGGATACTAAAAATCCCCCAATGCAGTGTGACAAATGAATATGAAATAGCAGCTGTGATTTTGATCTCCTTGATTATTTTAACAGACTGAGGAATCTTAACTCATCATTACCTGAATTAAACGTGCAATTTAATGAGTAGTAGTATGTTTACGTAGTATGCCAATATTCCATTCTGAACACAGCCCTACGCTTCTTAATTATAAAACAGGAAATTACCTGACAGGCTGTGATGGAAAAACTGTCTGATGTAAATGTAAATATGCTGTCATTACTTCATTTTGACCTATCCATGTCCCGCACATTTTACCTTGGATCTACAAAGTCATTTTTAATGAAAACTACACATCAAATTTTCCTGCAATATTAACTGAATGTCTTCACGTCATGATTTTGATTGTGAACTGTTGCATGGCCCTGGATTGCTTTCATCAGATTGAATGAGGTAATTATTGAATGAAGCCAGCAGGGGGATCTGCTCTGTTCAGTCTCAGCAGTGGCGGTCAAGGTCAGGACAAGGGCTTGTTAGAAGTCAGAGAGTCTGTGACTAACTCGAAACAAAGTGGAGGATTGGTTTCTGATGTCCTGAGCTTATTACATAATCACATGGCATCTACATAAATGAGATACACTTATTCATTGCTGATATATTAGCCGTGGACCACCACTGGACAGAACTTCAACAAGGTGTTTTATTCTTTTTCAATCTAATATGAAGCAATATTTTTGTCCTGAGATGTAAATTATCTGGTTAAACTGATTGGTAAATTATTTCTGAATTCAATGTGTTTCCTAATGAACTGGGACAGTCTTTTTACTCATTTTGCTCAGTGTCTATAAGCATTGCGTCTCACTGAAATATCTACCTGCTAACGTTCAAAGCATAAGAGGTGGACTACTGTATATCAGGCTTAAAAGCATCAGCCCAACCTGACAATCATACAAGACAGCAGACAGTGGTAGCAGAGAGGCTGTCAGGTTTGAAAGCTAGAGAAATATCATTTGACTGAATGGCCAAAGGACTGTAGCATAGCCAACCGGGTGAATCGCACAAAGTCGGTCAAACAAATCTGAGTCATGTTTCACCCCAAAATTAAATGAAAAAATAATAATAATAATAAAAAATGTTATTTATTTTTTATTTAAGAAAAGGAAGAATTATATTATTGTTTCATGAAAATGATCACATTCCCTAACCACACCCTCCATTACTGTAAAGCAAAAAAAGAAAAAGAAAAATATGATATAGCAATAGTTATATATTAATTAATAATGTATTAACTAATATTTTAATTATATTATTAAATATATTAATGATATAATCATTGTAAATTATTTATAAATTATGGTAGTATTTGTAGCACAGTCATCAATGACTAAAAATGAAAAAATAAAAATAAACTCAAAACTAAAACATCTGAATGCATTCCAGTCATTGTGGGTGATCAATTATGATGAAAATAATGCCAAAATGGCAGTGAAAATGATAAACAAACTCAACACTAAAACATCTGGATGCATTACAGTAATTGTAGGTGTTAAATTGTGATGAAAATAATGACACAACGGCAAATTAGTTATTGTGATTTTGGGGTCAAATATGTTGACTTCATACCATTCACCAAACCATCTCTAGGTCCGTCAACACCAAGCCTGCCTACCTACAATCCGTCCCACTTTTTCATTCGCAGACAAACGGAGCAGGATACTTGCTTACCGTGATGTAATGAAGCATCTGTATTCACCTACAATTGTCCCTAAATGTACAGTATCTACATTGCAATAAAATCAGAAACATACATTAAACCTTCTACTACATTGGAACAGACAATCTGTAGACCTATCAATGTTTACAGGTCACGTCCTACTGCCCTGTCCTTTTTTAGTACAAACCCATTACAGCAATGTATTAGAATCAGACAAATACATATATACAAACAATCCTGGTCTTCAGACTCGAACCTTTCATTGCCTTTCGATTTTAGACATTGTTAGATTTCTCCTGTGTGTATGTGTGTTTGTGAGCATAACCCTCAAAGCCATGCATTCAAACATGTGAAGTCATATTTCGCCTTTTCTAAACCAGGACTATATATATAAAAAAAAGAAATTGAACCAATGTTTCCACCCCGAACCATGTCCCTAATTATATAGTAGAAAAGTTAAATAAACAGGCAATCCATCTCAGTGAAGAGAATAAATGAATCGATAAACATTTAAATAAATAGACAGACCACTAAGAGCCTATGTAGAGTATTCAGCTCAGTTTGTTGAGAGAACAAGAGAAACTGAGGAAGAGAATAAAGAGATGAGGCCTATGTTACATTTGAGAAGGCTGCCAGGCGCCTCGTAGTGGCCAAGC